TTGTCCAGGCTCTGTGTACGTCAGCAGAGATACATTGGTGTTTTGGCTCACTGGGATCAGCCAACCGTTCAGACTGACTTTGTTGACTAGTCCCTCGAAGACTGTACCAAGGAATACGCTGTTTGCTGGGGAAGACATTTTAAAAGGGATGAAGGTAACACACACCTGAGACAAAATTTGTTCGACCTGTCTTGGATTTAAGGCAGGTAGATCTAGATCTAGTAGTTAGCTTGTCGAAGTCGTAGTTCGGATTATATTATTTTCCATAAATGTCTCGCGAGCTAAAGCAGAAAAACTTGAGTGGAATATCCAGGCTTTTAAACTTAAAACTAAAACTGGATGTCATTCGAGGACATTAATTTTTAAGAGATAAAATATTAGATTTATTGCTTCCTTCTGTATTGAAAACCATTCAATATGATTTTCAAGAAGGACAATTTTGTTTTTATTAATCATAAGAGCTTCCTGGATACCAATCAATATTAATTTGTGAATCGACTCACAGACAGGACTGGATTTGCTCTGATCTGGATGTGGCCCGCTGGCCATTATTTGTCCATGCCTGGTTTAAGGTCTCATAATCATGGACAAAATGTCTCAGAGGGTTCACGTTTTTTATTTATTTGTATGTTTTTTTAATTGATATTTTTTTCGGATGAGGGAGGGAGGAGTGTTGCAATTAAAAGTAGGCATCGACAAGCTCAGAGCTAGATTTCAGTTTAAGCAAAATTTTTGTTTTAATCCATTTGATGCCGCAATCAAAAAGCAATAACAGGACCCATTTCTGAGTTTATTCTTGCTTCGCAAACAGCTAGAGGTCAACGGATACATTAAGATTTACCTGGAAGACATCTTGTCATATACCCGAGTGGAGGCAGAGGCGCCTTGGTGCATGCACCTGTTGCGTCAACCAAATAGGTGGTGTTCTGTAAAACAATCATTATAATATTTTTTATAATTAATAAAGTCTACCTTGGTCGTCACAAGCTTTTCACAAGTTGTAATTTAAAAAAATCCCGCGACACCCAAAAGGGTATAACAGGAGAATAAAAGTAAAGTAATAAAAAATAGTTTTTGACTCTTCGGTTAATTTTCGCAATGAATGTCATAATATTGGGGAATCAGTTGTAAAAATACATAAAAATATGATTTATTATTTGAACCTGAGCAATTCTTTAATACAAGAAAACAAGACCGGTTACTGACTGAGATCTTTGTATTGTTAAAACAATAATACGATTACAAATTGAGTTGAAGGCATTTCCCACCTCTCTTTTGAATGTACCTCTCTACTTCACTCTCCTATTACTATCTAACGTTAACAAAGTATAATTTCGCTTTTAAAGACTGTAAAAAGGGTAATATATTCTACTTCTGTAAGCAACATGAGAATTCGAATTAAAGACGGCTGGAATTAAATGATAAGTATAGTGGAATGTATATGAAACCTATCGCCCTCACACACACACACACACAAACACTCACAGACACACATGCGCACAATCACATTGGAGATTTTCTGGCTGTTGATAGTGTTGAACTGATGATTTTTTAAAGAAAAGTTTTCGTGTAAATTCTGTTTTACTTTAGGTCAAGAGCGTCTATATATAATTTTAATTCGTGAAAGTTCGTCACATTCGCCGCCTAAAACTTCCGAACCACTTAACTTTCGAATTTGAAAAAAAATTAAACGTGGTTCATAATCATTTAAAGGGTACACAGTTTTACAGAGGAGTCTGAAGTCACTGTAGTTTAATTTTCAACTTTTCGTTAGTTTCGTGTAAATCTAATCTTGGGAAAGTCCGTCATGTAAGACGCCATTGTAAACAAGGGAGGTTTCCGTTCACAAAGAATGCGTGCACTGACCCTACAATGACTTGACGATCGATTCTTTTGAGTTCCTAGTTATACATAATTTAACAAGAGAAGCATAAAAAAACGTTCCCTTTTTTTTTTTTTTTGACTAGCTGGGGCCCCTTTCGATGAAAGGAATGGTCGGTGCATTAATATCAATTGTAAGTCTACTATATTTACACTCTACTGGAATGGAACAATAAATATTGAGAGAAAAGTGACACATATGTTTCCAAGTTGCCAAATAGACGTATAGATTGATTCTCTATTCCACTTTCGTGGTTGTACACTCCAGAATTTCAATGGTGTGGAATCAGTACTGGCGCACGGATAGTAAACGGAAACCTCAGTTGTTTACAATGGCGTCTTAGAAGACAGACTTTCCCCAAGATTCTATGTGGGCGAAACAATGCATTTAGGAACAGTCGGGAAAACAGTTTGCGTGGATTATTAAAAGTTAGGTCCTAGCCACATGGACGCTGTGGACGCCTGCAAAGTTTCAAAGGTGTGGGTTAGGTAATAAGGGAGGAGTTTGTGCACAAAGCCTCCCAAATCCACTTTTGTATAGATGTATATTTTGCTCTGTGTTTCAATCTGCACTCTATATTTAGTATTTGTGTGGGCGTATGAGTTCTGCATGCTTAGTAAGACGTTCTAGCCGGCGACTTTTCCAGTAATAACGTGTTTAAAGAGCTGTTTTAATAGGAGCAATAACAAGATGGAGAA